CTGCATGCTTGGCGTTGTCTCGTGCTTCTGTGTCAACACACATCTTCAAAAGAGTCACGCCTTGATTGAACTGTGTCATTTGTTGGCAGCAAGGTGTGGTTCAGTGTGTGTTTATCTTTGAGAAGCACTCACGACAAGAGCGGGCCTAGCACCACACAAGAACAGGCAGCCAAAGTAGATTTGTCTGCACAGCATGCTACAGACAGCGGGATGCTGCTCTATTGGGCGTCCTGTGCCACATGCTTCAAGTCCTTGATCTGCGTCATGACTGCTGCTTTGCTCGTCCCGCCAGCAGCAGAGTACTGTTCCACACTATGCTCAAAGTCCCACACCTGTGGAGGAAAGTGGGTGAGTGGGCGCGTGAGTGGGGGAAGTGGGTGAGTGTGAGCAAGCGAGAAAGGTTGTGATAGAGGCCATCGATCAAAACGGTGTGCACCTCGGTGATGTCGGTCTCGAACGCCTCGTGAACGGTCTTGAAGTCTTCGAGTGTGAGCTGGTCCACTTGGGGACGGAGGAGAGTGATGGGGACAAGGCGCTGGTGAGAATGAGCGGGAAACAGCACGAGAAGAATGGCACCAGCAAAGGGCATCACATACATGCGCAGACACAGGCACAGACACACGTAACAGAAACAGGCATACACACAGACACACGCACAGACACACGCACACACACAGACACATACACGAACACAGACAGACACACACACGCGCACACACACACGCACACAGACACAGAGTGCCGAACTTACAGCTGCAGTTCTTGGCCTCTGCCAGGCTGATGGTCTTGCCGGAGAGGGCGTGTGCGGTACGGAAGGGGATGCCTTTGCGCACGAGGTAGTAGGCGACGTCTGTTGCGAGCATGTCCACGCTCAGGCCAGCGCGCATCTTCTCGGGATGGACAGTCAGCGTGGACAGCACGCCGGTGGAGATCTGGCGGCGACATCAAAGGCGACGGGGACAAGGGCGGGGGAGCAGGTATGATGTGAGGTGAGGTGACGCGATGTTGCAAGCGTGTTGACATGCTTAACACAACGCACACACATGCACACACACACATACACACACACACACACGCACACACATACACACACACACACACACACACACACACACACACACACACACACACACACACACACACACACACACACACACACACACACACACAGACACAGACACACAGACACACAGACACACACACACACACCGGGATGACGCTGGCGAGGGTGTCAGCGACGGCGAACATGGCGGCTTTGTCCTCTTGCAGGTCCTTGTTGTATGTGCTGGGCAGACCTTTGAGCGACATGAGGAACCCTGCGCAGCTGCCAAACACGGTACCGGCCTTGCCGCGAACAAGCTCGAGGGAGTCTGGGTTCTTCTTCTGCGGCATGAGGGACGAGCCTGTGCTGTACGCGTCGGAGAGCGTGACGAATGCAAACTCCTTGCTGCAGTAGATGCACAGGTCCTCCGCCCACTTGCTCATGTGTGTCATGACCATCGTGCACACAAACAGGAACTCCGCCACAAAGTCTCGGCCGGATGTGGCGTCGAGCGAATTGCCACTCACGCGCTCAAAGCCCAGCTCCTTGGCGAGGAACGCGCGGTCCACACCAAACGGGTTGCCTGCGAGCGCACCGCTGCCAAGCGGGAGGACGTTGACGCGGCGGCGGAGGTCGGTGATGCGCTCCAGGTCACGTGCCAGCGCCCACGCATGGGACAGCACCCAGTGGCTCCAGCGAATTGGCTGGGCACGCTGCATCCAGTGAAGGAGTTGGGGGCGGGGGGTTAAGAGTTGGAAGGAGGGAAGAGGGGTTGAAGGTAAGCGACCGGAACGGTAGATGTGTGTGTGTGTGTGTGTGAGTGAGTGAGTGAGTGAGTGAGTGAGTGAGTGAGTGAGTGAGTGAGTGAGTGAGTGAGTGAGTGAGTGAGTGAGTGAGTGAGTGAGTGAGTGAGTGAGTGAGTGAGTGAGTGAGAGAGAGAGAGAGAGAGTGTGTGTGTGTGTGGCAATGTTCCACGAGGTCATGATGCATACTTGGAGGTGAGTGTAGCCTGGCATGAGGTGGTCAATCTCCTGTTCCGCCCGCTGAACGGAGACAGCGATGAAGGCTTTCAAGTTCTTCTCCAACTCGAGCAAGTGATCGCGAAGCCACAAGCGCATGTCCGTTGCCACCTGGTCGTTCCGGCTGTAATGCACACGCCCCCCGCACCTGTATGTGTGTGTATGTGTGTGTGTGTGTGAATAAAAAGTGGCACGAGTTGGAGGTGTCAACGCGGGGAAACCTGGAGGCATTGGGCTATCATAACAAGGGACGGCCGTGCGGCAGCACCACATGCGAAAGACTCAGCCGAGCAGGACTTTGCTGGTACATGCATAGGCAGACAGGTGCAGACATGTCCGAACACAG